TCCAAAAAAAAAAAAAAAAAAAAAAAAAGGAAAAAAAAAAAAAAGCATAAATCATAAAAAACTGATTAATTGGATTTGATCAAAATGTAAAATTTTTGCCTTTTAAAGGTCACAACTAAGAAAATTAAAAACAAGCCACAGACTGGGAGAAAACATTTGCCTGCCACAGAAGAACCTGATATTATCTATTGCTTTGCAGCAATTATCCAGAAATGTAGCAATTTAAAACAACGAATATTTATAATCCCACACAATTTCTAGGTGTCAGGAATCTGGAATTATCTGTTGGCCAAAGCTGCAGGCACATCAAAGCTGGACTAGGACTAAAGAATCTTCTTCCAAGCTCACTCACATGGCCACAGGCCAGCCTCAGTTCGTTGCTGGTTGTTGACTAGTGTATTAGTTTTCTAGGGCTGTTATAATAAAGTAGTACAGACTGAGTGGCTTAAACAACAGAAATTTATTTTCTTACAGTTCTAGAAGCTAGAAGTCCAGGATCAAGGTGTCAGCAGTTTTGTTTTTTTCTGAGGCCTCTCCTGTTGGCTTATCACTGTGTCTTCACATGGTCTTTTCTCTATGTGCCTGTATCCCTGGTGTCTCTTTTTGTGTCTAAATTTCCTCTTCTTATGAGGACTCCAGTCAGATTGGATTAGAGTCCACCCTAATGGCCTCATTTTAACTCAATCATCTCTTTTTCTTTTTTGGGGGGCAGTTGGTCGGGAATCTGAACCCTTGACCTTGGTGTTATCAGCACCATGCTGTAACCAAGTGAGCTAAATGGCCAGGCTACACACCTCTTTAAAGACCATATCTTCAAATATAGTCATCTTCTGTGGTACTGAGGGTTAGAGTTTCAACATATGAATTTTGAGGGAACACAATTCAGACTGTAACAGCCACAGGCTTTGGTTCCCTGCCACATGGGCCTCTCTGTAGGGCTACTCACAACATGACATCTTGCTTCTGCCAGAGTGAGTAATTTAGGAGAACAAAAGAGCAAGTGCCTAAGACAGAAACTATATCCTTTTTTCAAACGCCATCTCAGAAGTAACATAATATTACGTCCTCAGTATACAACCAGTAACACAACCAATCCTGAAATAATGTAGGATCATTCTACACATTGGTATGAATACTACATGGGAATCATTGGGGAACATCTTGTCCACCACTGACTTGTATCCATAATATATATATATATATATATATATATACATATATATATATATACACAATTTGATAATAAAAAGACAAGTCAATTAAAAATGGTCAAAGGATTTGAATAAACATCAAAGAAATGGCCAGCACATTAAAAGATACTAGTCATTAAGGAAATGCAAATTAAATGTACAGTGAGATACCACTACACACCTATAATCAAAAAAACTGACAATACCATGTATTTGCAAGGATGTAGAGAAAATGGAACCCTCTGCCAGTGGGAATGTAAAATGGTACAGCTACTTAGGAAAACAGTTTGGCTGTTTCTTAAAAATTAAACATAAACTTAGCACATGGCCCAGCAATTACACTCTTTGGGATCTGCTCAATGAAAATGAAGGCATATATCCACACAGACTTTAAATGAACATGTAAGCAAAATTATTCAAAATAGCACAAACTGGAACAATCCAAATACCCATCAATGGTACATGAATGGACAGATGTGGCATATCCATACAAAGGAATACTATTTAGCAATAAAAAGGAACAAACCACAGACATGCTACAACATGGATTCTTTTTGTCATTTTTTAGTAATTGAAATATAGTTAGTAGGGCCGGCCCGTGGCTCACTCGGGAGAGTGCGGTGCTGATAACACCAAGGCCATGGGTTCAGATCCTATATAGGGATGGCCGGTTGGCTCACTGGCTGAGCGTGGTGCTGACAACACCAAGCTAAGGGTTGAGATCCCCTTACCGGTCATCTTTAAAAAAAAAAAAAAAAAAGAAAGTTCAATATATGATTGTGATTGTTGTATCTTTCTTTTTTATCTATCTTTTTAGCTCCCACTTATGAGTGAGGACATGCAATATTTCTCTTTCTGTGCTTGGCTTATTTCACTTAACATAATTTTCTCTAGGTTCATCCTCTTTCTGTCATTTAGCCCCTTTTCCTAGTGTAAAGATGTAATCTAGCCTGAAGATCCAGTCAGGTTCTCTTTGACTCCAAGGACAATTGGCACTTCTAAGTTTCTCCAAAAGACATAGTCCATATGATAGTCTCCTCTGGACACTTCCTCCTCACAACCCATAAGTGGATTTTACTCAACTCCCTCGACTTACTTCAATGCTCCTTCCAGCGCTGCCCAATTGGTGGTTCCCCAAATAAGGTTCAGAATTGCCTCTCTTCCTCACTCTGCTCACCCATTCAAAATTCCCATTCCCTGGCCAATGTGTGGATGAGTGGTAACAGCTGAGTGCTTTGCAGTAGGACAGGGTCTGAAGGGTAGCACAAAGCAGCCCACAGCTAAGTCATTTCTTTGAAGTCTCCTCATGTAGCGAGAAAATAAAATATACGAGTATATCTTACAGACTTTATGTGAAGATTAGGTGCCTAATATCCAGTATGTAGTAATTTATAAAAGCAACTGAAATGGACGCAAAGGTGGTTTTTGTTTTTCGTTTGGGTGTTCAATCCTGGGGATTGAACTTTGGCCCGGTCTTTTTTTTTTTTTTTTTTTTTTTTTTTAAAGATGACCATTAAGGGGATCTTAACCCTTGACTTGGTGTTGTCAGCACCAGGCTCTCTGAAGTGAGCTAACCGGCCATCCCTATATAGGGATCCGAACCCGTGGCCCTGGTGTTATCAGCACCACACTCTCCCAAGTGACAGCCCGGTCTTTAAACAAGGGAATACATACAGTCAAGCGTCATATAACTAGGGGCGTAGCTACATATAAGAAATGTGTAGCTACGACATCACGTGGCGATAGGAATTTTTCAGCTCCATTATAATCTCATAAACCACTGTCCTATATGGGGTCCTCCTTGCGTGCAGCGCATGACTGTCTATATAATGCTCTCTCAGAGAATCCTGTAGAAGGCTGGGAATGGGAAACAGGCCGATGCGGGCTGTCACTGACAAAGAGCTGAAAGAATAGAAGTTAATTCCTTCTTTCCTATCTGAATCCTATCAGGATTCCCAGTAAACACAGCCACCATATGTTTGTGTCAGTCACCGCTAGCTGATTCCCATGCATTATTATTTTTTTAAACTTCTAATAACCCACTTGAGGAACCTACGCATGATTTCATATAATCTTCACAATAACATTATGAGACTTGTAATACCATCTTCCCTAGCGGATATCTGAAGAAACTGAAGCTTAGAGAGGTGTAACACCAGGTGTATCCTCCACTTCGAGAAATCTATTTTGATTTAGTCGTTAATACGGATTAGGGTGGGTCTTCCCATTTTGTTTCTCTCCCTTTCGCCTGGCTCACCTACTCTCTTTTCACCTAGTAGAATGTGGCGCGTCACCAACGGTGAGGCCGAGGTGGGCTTCCCCAGGGGAAGAAAGAAGCTAAACCCCGCCCGGGAGGCGGGAGTCACAGTGGGCGTGGCCGCAAGCCGTTTCCCTTCTTGGCTCCGGGCAGGACGGCCGCAGAGCCGTAAAGAACACTGCAAGTCGTGAAGTGGTGAGGCGCGGAAGCCTTGTTTTACGGCGTTTCGGGTAGAAGCTCCCGGCTGGCGTTCGCTCCTAGTGGCTACTTGGCTCCGCACGTGGGCCGCTGTTGGTGTCCTGGCCGGTAATTCTTCCGATTGGCGTGAGCAGCCACATTGAAGGACAAAGTGGCAGCAGAGGCCGACGGTCGTGATTTGATAGAGTTTGCTGCTGAAAATAAAGGGACGTCGGAGGCAAGTTTACGGAGTGCAGCTGAGGGAGCGCGGCTAAGTCTCGAGTCGGGTATGGAGGGAGTCGGAGACTTAGCAGAGATGGAGGAGGCCGGCGGTGGGAAGGAGCAGAGTGGACTGACAGAAATGAAGAAGACAGGGGATGGAAAGGAAGGAAGTGGACAAAGGGCAGAGGAGATGCGAATGGACTTAAGAGTTGTAAAGCAAGAAATTATGGACTGGTCGGAAGTAGAAGGCGGCATGTTGGATGGCCAGTGGAGAGGTAGGAAGTGGACAAAGGGCAGAGGAGATGCGAATGGACTTAAGAGATGTAAAGCAAGAAATTATGGACTGGTCGGAAGTAGAAGGCGGCATGTTGGATGGCCAGTGGATAAAGCAGGAGGTGGAGGATGGGCCTGAGGTGAAGGATGAGAAAGTAGGCATACTGGAGGTGAAACAGGAGATGGATAGTAGTTTGGTGGTAAAAGAAGAGAAGTTTCATGAACTAGAGGTAAAGGAAGAGAAAGTGAAGGTGAAGGAAGAAGTAATGGACTGGCCAGAAGTGAAGGAAGAGGAGAATAACTTAGAGGTGAAACAAGAGGAGATGTTTGTTGCTCAGAAAATAAAAGAAGAGGATATAATGGAAGGAGTGCATGTGAAAGAAGAGATTTTCCTGAAGAAAGAAGTGATGGATGATACAAAGGTGAAAGAAGAACCTCAGATAAATCACTCAGTGGGCTGCAAGCGGAAACTGGCCATGTCAAGGTAGGGCAGGGAAAATTCTTATTGGGGGAATAAAACTGTGGAGTCTTGTGTTGTCTATGGTGAAGGAAACTACACTATCAGTAGAAGTAGAATAATGAAAAATAAGCACTAGTTTGGGTTTTTGGCGTCTGAGTGGTGTTGGTGGCAGACGGGGTTGGGGAAGTGGAAAGCATATGCAGATGACAACCAATTCAGTGAAAATATGTGAATTTGATAGTGTTCGATGAATAGTGGTTTAATGAGTTAGGAAAGTAAAAATTCTGGGGACTAGAAGAGCCTTTGGAACCAAATCTAGCTTGACTTAATATGCTCTTGGTATTCCTTTGAGAAAGAATAGATATTAGAAGTCTAGTAAAACCAACAACGACAAAGTGAATTAAGTTAAAATTAAACAAAAGTGCACTTGAACTCAATTGTGAAGCTTCTGTATGGGTACAAAGAGTATTTATGGCTTTCGAACTAATTTTCTTATGGTATGATCATGGGACAACATAGGAAATAAAAGAGTAGTCAGATTCTTGGGAATATTACTGTCTAGAACATAGTGGACCAAATAAAAGTAGCTATAGTTTGATTGTCAGTATCCCAAGATCCTAGGAGAGTGGTAGAGGACAAATGATGGGTAATAGCATTTCTAGGTTATTTTGATGCCCATTCTAGGTTAGATGTGGAGTTGAGAAAGAAACAGATGCAACTGCTATTCCTAAAGTTGACTGGGTCTTACATTCTTTTTCTGGTGTGTGTGCTTCTAAAATATCTAAACATAGGTCATGGATTGGACTTCAGGATACACACAAACTCACACAATTGTTACTAGATTGCCAGGAATTCAAGTTAAAATATTAGTGAGTAATCTCATTCTCTGATTTACAGGAGAAAAAGAAGTCAAAGTGATGTGTTTTTAAAATTTTAATACATGTTTTCATGAGTTACCTATCACTAATAACATTGTAAATGTTGTCCTTTGGCTCTTCTTTCATAGAGAAGAATTTTCAAACTCAAGTACTTTATCAGAGTTATTTACATGTAGTTTATTCAGTGAGTACATGTCTATAAATGTGACAAGTAATTGAATCAGCATTCAAAATTTATAAATAGATTAGTAGAATTAATATTTGATAATTAATAAGTTACATGTGGGCTTTTGTAGATGTGAAACTTGTGGTACAGAAGAAGCAAAATACAGATGTCCACGTTGTATGCGATATTCCTGTAGGTATGTATATAACTTTCTACTTTATTACCTATATCTGTACCCCTCTTATCTTGAAATATAAAAGTACCTCTTTGTCTCTTCAGTTTGCCCTGTGTGAAGAAACACAAAGCAGAACTGACATGTAATGGAGTTCGAGATAAAACTGCATACGTTTCAATACAACAATTTACTGAAATGAATCTCTTAAGTGGTAAGCCATTTTGTGCATAGCAGATTGATGCTTCCTGGCCATTGGTATATATTTATTTTTCTATTTTGAAATTTTTAGATTATCGATTTTTGGAAGATGTGGCAAGAACAGCAGACCATATTACTAGAGATGTTTTCTTGAAAAGACCAATAAGCAATAAACATGTAAGTATTTCTTCTAATCCCTTCTGGTTTGAATTCCTTCCAATCAATTAGATTCATTTTTGCACTTAAGTGGCCACCATGATATAGGGCTATTTTGGATACTGGGGATATGTCAGTGACCAAAACAAGGTCCTTCTTTTTATGGAGCTTGTAGTGGAGAGACAGGAGGTGAGTAGAGGAACAAATACAGTTTCAGATAGAGTTAAGTGCATGTAGAAAATAAAGAAGCCTCCAGAAGTTAAAGAGAATGAAAATGGTGTTTATTGGGGAGAGGATGTCAGTATTTTCCATATAGTTATCAGGAGAAGCTTAATTGAGAGAAATTTAAGCAGTGATCTGAATGATGGAATAGAGGCTATTGTGTGAGCATTTGGAGGAAAACTGTTTTAGGTAGAAACAAAAGCAGAAGTAAAGACCTGAGTCAGGAACAAGGTTGGTGTGTTTGAGAAATTAAAAGAGGGGCACAGTGACTGAAGCATAGTGAACGTGGAGGAGAACCTTAAAGATAAGGTTAGAGAAACCGATGAGAGTTCCTAATATATTCTAAGTGAAAATGGAAACCAAGGGAGGATTTTGAACATGTTTGCTTTTTGAAAGACCATTCTTGCTGCTGTGTCATCTTTAGGGGGCAAAAGTAGAAGATTAGAAGCAGAGAGAATAGTTACAAGGCTGCTGCTGTGACCCATGTGAGAGATGATGGTGGCTTGGGTCATGCTATTAGATTTATTGGGAAGTAATTAGATTCCGGTTTTGAAGAAAGCTAACAGGACTTACTGTTCTAATATACTTCTAATGTACTTAATTTTCATAGTCTTGCATCCCTTTCTTATTCCTTAAGCACTGTGCAAAAATCAAAGCTTGCATATTTGAAATATTTTGCAGCAAGTATTGTTCTAGGTATTCTTTAATATTACATCATGGAATTATGTTCATTTTTCAAAGACCATTTTAGTGTTGGAGTTGCAGAATTTTAATACTTTTGGGGTGTGGGGGAGGGCAGCTGACTGGTATGCGGATCTGAACCCTTGACCTTGGTGTTACAAGGCTGTGCTGTAACCAACTGAGCTAACCAGCCATCCTGAATTTTAATACCTTTTAAACACCTTGTTTTATTGTTATTTTTGCTACAGACATGACATTATACATATCTGAAAGAAAATTATCATGTATTAGCTCTTCCTATTTTTCCTCAAGCTTAATTAAGCATAATTAAAATTCTGCTTAAAGATAAACTAATTTTTAACTTTTCTCTTTTTATTGTGAAATATAGGATGCATTTTTAAAAATCATAAAATGGAAATACATGGTTTAGTGAATAATTGTAAAGTGCACATCCATATAACTAGTCTAGAATTAGAACATTACCAGCTTTCTAGAAGTTCCTGGCCACCCTCTTTTCCCTGATCTATTCTCATTTCTGTATCGTTTTCTGTCTTGAGACCATACCACAGTTAGTCCATTCTGTTCATGGACTTTGGGTTTTCTGAAATAAAAAAAAAAAAATTTAAAACCAGTGCTATTATGAACACTTTTGTTTATGAATTGTGGTTTGCAAGTGCATACATTTTTCTGGTGTTTATACCTGGGAGTGGAATTGCTCTGTGGGGTATGTGTATCTTCAAATTGACTAGGTATTACCAAAACATTTTCCAAAGTGGTTATACCAGTTTACACTCCGACAAGTAGTGTGTAAATGTACCTATTTGTCACATTCTCTTCAATACTTGACTTGGTCAGACTTTTAAAATTTTTGTCAATCTGATGGCTTTGTAATTTTATTGTGATTTTAAATTTGCAGTTCTCTGATTTCTAAGAGATTGAGTGAATACCTTTCATATATTGTGGCCATTTTGGATTTCCTCTTTTGTGGAGTGCCTTTTCATGTGTTTTGCTCATCTTTTCCTTGGTCAAATTTCTTTTCTTACTGGTTTGTACGAATTCTTGGTATTTCCTGGATACTAATCAATAGTTGATATATTAACTTTAATGTAGTCTTAACTTTAATGTAGTCAAATTTATCATTTCTTTATAGTTGGCAGTTTTATGTTTTTATGAAAAAATCTTTCCCTGCCTTGAAGTTAAGAGGATATTCTCCCGTAATTATTTTCTAAAACCTGTTTAGTATTTCATTTCACATTTACATCTTTAAACTATTTAAAATTGATTTTTGGTATTGCGTAAATTGATTTTTGGTGTTGTGTAAAGTGGAAGTCCCATTTAGTTTTCCATATGGATAATCCACTTTTCCTAGTGCCATTTATTGGTAAGTTCATCCTTTTCCTACTGCTCTGCAGGACCACCTTTATCATATATCAATCATCCATATATGCTTCGGTCAGTTCATGGTCTGTTTATTTCATTCCGTTGGTTAACTTATCTGTCTTGCACCAATACTACACTCTCAATTATTACAGTTTTTTACAGAAATTTGTTATCTGATAGAGTTAGTCCTCCCACTTTGTTCTTTTTTTGGAGTATAGCTCTTTGTGCTCTTTGCACACAAACAAGGCAAATCATTGCAAATCTGAGCAAGGGCTGGCCCATGGCCACAAATTCTAACAGATTTTTTTTTCTTTTTCCTCTGTTCCAGTCAGACCATTCAAGTTTCTTAGCATGCTCTAGGGGAAGAGTTTATTTCTGGTTTACCTGTATCCTGAAGGTGTATTATTCTGTGTCTCAGCTTAATTTAAGTAAGGATTCCTAGATGTTTTCTGTGGGAGTGATGGTCACTGCCATTATGATTACTTATAATTATCATTGCTGTTACTGTAACCAAAGTCTTCTCAGTTATTATATGTAATTTTAAAAGACATTTTCCTACTTAGCCAATGAGAGCTAACCCTTCCTTTTCCGCGGCTTATGACTTGATTGTAACTCCTTGCATTGCAAATTCTAGATCCCCATTTAACCAAAAACAAACTTGCATTTATACTTTGACTTTTTTTTTTTTTGAGTGATCTTTCTGCTTCTTTGCCTTTAGAAACGTAATGATAGTACTTTCTTCACAACTCTCTGGCGTTGCCTCGTTCAGCTTAACTAACCCAGATGGTCAATGGAGTAACACATGTCAGAGCCAGATGTTCTCATATCTCATTTTAGACTGCCGACAGTGGCTACTTTAAGTTAGGCCTTATACATGTATGAGGCAATGCCATGGTTCCTCCCTTGAATGAGCTACCTGTCCAATAGTATAATCAGAGATATAGACAGCTAACTATGGTATAAAACCATTAGTAAAAGAAATAAGATATTGTATAGGTAGCCCCATGACTGCCAAATGACCTGTATTTTCTTTTAATCTTCATGAAATTCTTCTTTTGGCTTATAGAGCATATGATTAAAAGCACAGGCTGTGGAATTAGATGGACCTGGGTTTGGATATAGGTTCTGCCCCTCAGAGATAGCTGTATGATGTTGGAATCTCATTAATTTTTACTGCTAAAATTGTGGTAATAATAGTACCTATCTCATAGTATCATAAACATTAAATGAGATTACTGCTTAGAGCTGTTTGTGAAACATAAGTACTGAGTAAATCTTAGCTGTTATATTATTGAACATTGTTTAACTCACTTTTGAAATTTAAGGCATTTAAAGATTAATTTGTCTATTTATTTTGGGTTTTTAGATGTACTTTATGAAAAACCGTGCCCGAAAGCAAGGTATTAACTTGAAACTTCTACCAAATGGATTCACCAAGAGGAAAGAGAATTCAACATATTTCAATAAGAAGTAAGTTTTTAACTTCTTTTTTAGTTTGTCAGGTGTTATGATTTTATCAGGAACATCCTTTAAGGTTTGGTTTGCTATAGAGCATTGATATCCAAAGTGTGATCTGTAAACTGTTATTGGTCCGTGACAAGATAACTGTGGTAATTGTATGTCAGGTGACTCTAAAAAAAATGTGGGCTTCGTGTGTGTGTGTGTGTGTGTGTGTGTGTGTGTGTGTGTGTGTGTGTGTGTGTGTGTGTTCATTCTTGATATCCTTTGAGAAACTTCTCAAATGTTAATGTGCATACGAATCACCAAAGCATCCTGTTAAATATGCTTGTTGTGAATTTAGTTTCGGTAGGCCTGGGTTGGAGTTTGATATTGCACATTTCTTTTTTTTTTTTTTTAAAGATGACCGGTAAGGGGATCTTAACCCTTGACTTGGTGTTGTCAGCACCACGCTCACCCAGTGAGCCAACCGACCATCCCTATATGGGAACTGAACCCGGGGCCTTGGTGTTATCAGCACCACATTCTCCCGAGTGAGCCACGGGCCGGCCCGATATTGCACATTTCTAACAAGTTCCTTGGTGATGCTGATTGTTTGAGAAGCGTACTTTGAGTGGCAGTGCCCTAGAACACTCATACATTAGAAATAAACTCTTTCTCTGAGACCCAAGATGCCACTGGGTATTTCAGGGGCTTTGGAGACAAAGTGGTGAGTCAAAGCAGGACCCCTTTACTGTTTTAATCAGAGCAGCTCGACTTTTATAATCCTTTCTATATTGAGATTCCAAATAAGATTTATTTAAAAGCTGGCAATGGGGAAGAAGACGACTTTGAAACATTTACTTTAATAGTGAATTTGTGAGTATAGATAACATAATAGATTAGTTTGCTGTTCACTGAAAGTGTTGGGTTGAAAAGGCCCCAAGAGTACAGAGAACAGGATCCCAAAGTACTGTAAGTAGCCAAATAAATTATTGGGTATCTTTCAGAAGTCAAGATTCTGCATTTAGAGTTAAAAAAAAGGCCTGCGGGAGCTCCTCCCTCTTCAGCCTCTTAATAACTATGGGACCTTGAACAATTCACTTCCTTTCTCTGGGTCTCATCTGTCTGATGTGGGGGCTGGGCTAGGTGAACTCTAAGGTTCCCTTCCAGTTTTACTATTCCATAAATTGAAAAGAATCAGAGTTATCATTATTCTAATAAAACTTCCACCTTTTCAAAAGATTTTATATACTTAAAGATGGTTTTATCCATTTATTTTATATGTTTCAAGACATAAATATGTGTAAAGTAGTTTTTCTTTTTCCTGGTTGGCTTCCAAAAGTAAAGTAATGCCTTGCATTTATCAAATATGACATGATTTCTTTCTGCATTTTGAAATTACAAATTTAGAAATTGACATAATTTGAAATTTAGGGTAACTGGTTTGTGCCTTCTGAAGTATAAAATGTGTTTTTATGAAGGAAATCATTCTGAATGTCATCAAAGATTAGTTCTTTGTACTAGAGAGTACATAGACACAAGCATAATATTTTTATGTCTCCAGATACACGAATGTATGTGGGAAGTTTATTCCAAGAATATTACACTTAGTATATTTTAGGGTTTAGTAACCACATTTATATTTTCTGTTATTTTGAAATACTGCAGTTCTCTGAAATGGCAAATGAGACTCTTCTTGCATTATTAGCCATTTTCTCATGAATGTACAGAGATTTGGGGTTGGTTTTCTTAAATTTTTAGTGTGTTCCCATGAGGAGATTAGCAACATAATGCATAAAAGGTTTTAGAGTCAATTTCTTATGGCCTTTTGTATCTGTAAAATGGAGCTGATGATAGCTACCTTGTAGAGATACGGCCTTTAGTGTATTAATTCTCCTAGACAGTAACTGGCATGTAGGAAGGAATCAGTATACCATACCTATTGTAAAAATAATACATGTGCATTATAAAAAAGTTTTAAGGAAAAATAGCATCCATAATTCTAATATCTAGAAATGCCCACTGGATAGCTTTTCCTAATATTTCCTTGTAATCATTTTTTCCCTTTTCCAAAGTGACATGACTTTCCTCAGGTTAAACATTATTAACTTTTTATAAATAAATGCACATTCTTTTTTCCTGAAACTATATTTTCCATTTAACAATACATTATAAACCTCTTCCCTTGTTAATACAGATCCACCTCATTTTTATTTATATATTATAAATATAGCATATTTCAATTACTACTATATCCTAATTAATTATTCCCATATTCACGAACATTTAGCTTATTTCTAGTTTTTAATTGTTACAAATAATGCTGTAACAAACATTCTTGAACAGAGTTTGTGTTCTTATGTGTCTTTTTCTGCAGTTTCTAAAAAGCAAAATTACTAGATCAGAGAGTACATGCATTTCAACTTTTTTTTTTTAAAGATGACCAGTAAGGGGATCTTAACCCTTGACTTGGTGTTGTCAGCACCACGCTCACCCAGTGAGCAAACCAGCCATCCCTATATGGGACCCGAACCCGGGGCCTTGGTGTTATCAGCACCGCACTCTCCCGAGTGAGCCACAGGCCGTCCCATGCATTTCAACTTTTGAGAAAAAGTCCACATTGTCCTCCCCCAAAAAGTATCACTTTGTACCTTTATCAAGAAAATATAAGACTGGCTATTTTAGTTATACTTAAACTTTTATTGAATATTATCAGACTTTATTGTGTGTATATGAGAGAGGCTGAGCTCTTGGATTTTTTATTTCTTGTTAAGACATGCTTGTTTATATCACTTGCTGTTTTTAAAATCTTGGTCTATTACATACTCATACATTGTAAATATTTTCACCCATCTGCTTATCCTTTAATTTTGTCTTCAACCATTTCTTGATGCATTTTAAATAGCTGTAAAAAAAATTCTGTGTAACAGGTAAAATGCAATGGTTAAGAGCACAAACTGGAACCAGGCTGCCTGAGTGCAAATTTCTGATCATAGCCCTCCTAGCTATTTGATCTTAAGCTAAGCTACCTAGCTTCTTTGTGCCTCAGTTTCCACATCTAAGGTGGAAACAGTAATAATAATCAACTAAGTTTAAACCAGTTTTCATTTCCATTTGTAGTGTGTGAGAAAACCTGTTTAAATATCTCCTTACCTACACTGAGTAGTCTCTTTTTAAAAAAATTGTTGCTAGTCTAAAAAGTTGAAATGGCATTTTACTTAATTTGCTTTTATTTAATTGCTGCTAATATGGAATTTTTTGCCTGTGTGTTTTGGAGTGATATCTTAAAATTTAAGTGGAAAGTTTGACTTAGTCCAATTCATGTGATAAGGTGAACTTTCATTTATAGAACTATTTTGGGAGTCAGTTCAGTGAAAAATAAATCTATATAACTGAATTGCTCCATTCAGTCATTGTTTATTCTTAAATTGCCCATTCTTATTTTTAAATGGAAAATGGTTTTACTACTAACTAAATTTAAAATGTCTGTATTCATCAGATACCCATACCGGCCCAGGTGCCAAAAAAAGAAAATGAAATAAAATGTCTGTATTCAGATGCTGGATGAATAATGATGTATTATGGTGAGTTCCCAGCTAGTTGAAAGCCATGCTTAAAGAATGTTGCTGGTTGGTTGATTGATAGTCATCTTGGAAATCTATTTAGTGTGTCCCAATATTTTGCTCATTCTTATTCAGTGTTTTCTTCAGTGATTTAATCAGGGTTTCTCTTGGCACTGTTGACATTTTGAGCTGGATAGTTCTTTGTTGTGGGGCATTATACTGTGCATTGTAGGATGTTCAGCAGCATCTTGGCCTCTACCCACTAGATATTGGTAGTATAAACACACACCTGTGTTGTGACAGCAAAATGTCCCCAGACATTGTCACATGTTCTCCGGAGAGGGCAAAACCACCATATTTGAGAACCACTGATTTAGATGAATATACAAGACATACTTACTGAATTTGTAGTTCTAATCTTTTCTTGGGCCAGATAATTAATATAATGTATGACATAATCAGGATTCTAATGTCCTGTGCTTAACCTTTAGGGGGAAAAAGATGGAAAAAAAAAAGACATTTAGAAGTAATCTGTTCAGGATACTGTGTTTTATCAGCCATTCATATGAAAATATCCAAGGTTTTAAGTGATTGCAGTGGTAATTTGCTAGAAGGAGGGAAGAGGGGATATGAAATCTTCTAAAAGAATTCTGTTTAGCGCTTACTTCCCTAGTTTGTTTTTAAGAGACTGTTTTTCAACTAACTTTCAAAAGTTGGTTAAAGCTTGGACTCAAACCTGAATTTTCCTACCATTTGATGCATATTAGGTGATCTTGGACAAGTTCTAACTTACTGGGTTATTGAGAGGATTAAATGAAATGATAAAGTAATATCTGGCACATAGCAGATTATGTACAGTGACATTAAAGGTGTACATTCCTTTATCTGAAATCTCTGGGAATATGGCACATTTACTACATATTACATTCACCCCTCATAAGTCTAGTATAGCATTGCATTATCAAGCAATACTATTTCTGCAGTGAAACCTACAAATGTTTACATTGTATTGGATAAATAATGATAGTAACCTGGCTCAGTCAGGTTTTGCTGCCTAAGGAGTTAAGAAAAATCTTTCCGTTTCATATATTTGGGGATTTGGGGCTTGTTGATATGAGACTTTTTACTCCTAGGTATTAAATTGGTTCATTGCTTATTTGAGCAGTTTGATCTGCAATATAGTCAAAAACTCAAATTGTTTGTTTAAATTTAATTTAAAAAATTTTTGTTCTAATGGTAACTAGTAAGGAACCCGAGTGAAAGATTCTTTGTACTATTTTGTAACTTTTCTGTGAAGTCTGAATTATTTCAAAACAAATGTTTCAAAAAATTTAAAGACCCAATATGAAGAGTGACTAATGTACCATTGTGCCTGAACTATCTCTGTAGAACTATCAAGAGGTAACTGTAGTAGCCATGCAATAGGTACCTTAGAAAAATAGGTTCGGGGCCGGCTCGTGGCTCACT